ATTGGGAAACAAGACACTGGCTATCATAAAGAAGAGTTTCTAACACAATATATGTTTTATCTTTGCGATAATCAACCAATAGATTAACGTCTGACCTGAGTAGCCTTGCGTACAAACAGAACGAACATGAACAAAAATAACTGCTACCACAAAATGGATGACTACTAAGAGAGGAGACAGACAATGAAATTCGAAGATATCCTTGGTATCCTTGGTGATTTTGGTAGATATCAGCAATTCCAGTATTTTCTCATCTGTATCCCGATCATGCTCTGTGCGTGTAATGATATGGCAAACACGTTCCTCAGTGCTTCATCCGATCACTACTGTAGAGTACACGACAATCAGACATATCAGGAAAACTCACGATTGAAGAACTGTACAATTCCGTACGAAGTTGATGATGGTGAGGTTGAATGGTCAAAATGTGATCGGTACAACGTCACGGACCAAGACTGTTACGATGGCGAGGCGGAGGTAATGCCATGTGACAATGGATGGGTGTATGACACAAGTACATACGAGAGAACAGTCGTACATGATGCAAGTATATTTAATTAATTTTGCGTAGAAAATTATATTTTGCGAAATATATACCGTGACGGATTGACTATTCAAATACCCATCTGCATATTTGGCTAATTACTAGCATATTACAAATGATTGTCGATGTTATTGCACGAAGGTAAATTTTATTAATCTCTACAATCGCTTTCATCGTTTGGTCCATGCTGTCAACTGTTGTGTTAATTGACATTAATGTTGTATCACAACTCTTCTCATATATGTTTCGTGTTTGCGTAGTTCGATCTAGTATGTGAGAAAGACTGGATGAAACAGCTGTCAAAAGCAATTTATCCGCTTGGCTCATTATTCGGCACAGCTGTAATTGGTCAATTATCGGACAAGTAAGTATATATCACGCGTACAACTGCGATCTACAGTTCATATTACGTTAGAGTGTGTAATGCACCAAGTATACTATGTTATACATCAACATAAGTTGTTTTGTTGTTAGTTTTGATTTTCTAACATGTGCGAAATAATATTGTTTATTTATAAAATTCTTATTATTAAGGTCATTGTGGTTAAGAACTATTTCTCGCAACTATGACTAAGCAGTTTCATTGAATATAAATACTCATTCAGTATAGATAAACCAACAGCATGTTTACGTTACTGTGTAAACGCAATAATATTCCGGCTCTGACCAACGAGAACCGTTATTCTATATACATCTGCTATATTTTAATATAAAATGTAGGAAGGTATAATTTTACTCACGGACCCCAGTTCGTTGAAATTGACAGATAAAAAGAAAATTTGTTTGTATTTGTTATTTTATTGATGAACAATTTGACAATGATAACGCTGTCATGATTTTAACTTCTTGGCGAAATTTGTTGTGGTGTATGTTTGAGATTTTTGTAATTTAATTTTTTTCAGATTTGGTCGAAAACCATGTTTTTTCTCTTGTTTATTATTACTGATTATCGTTGTATTCATCACGGCATGTGCTCCAGTATACGCTGTGTTTGCTGTGGGTCAGTTTTTCATTGGATTTCTATCAGTTGGACTATTTACCGTTGCATTTGTTCTCGGTAAGTATTTTTCTTTAAATAGTAAAAGCGACCTAACGGTCAAAATAGCTCTTATGTTGTCTTTGCAAAGTGTCTCCCTCGAAAATTGATAATGTTCAGCTGGATGCGATATTAACTAATTACCATGGATACTAATGTTCGTAACATATTCGTCCCATGGTAGTTTATTTGGCTGTTGCAATTGCAGTTGTTATCATCTTTTTACAAATCTCGTACTCTACATACCAAGTATCAAAGCAATTGGGCTGGTAGATATCAAGTAGATTTTAAAATTATCATACTTCACTAAACATTACAAAACTATTCGTTAAACATAGAGAATTGAAAATGTCGTCAAGAATAAATCTGATAGAGGTCCGCCCAAGGTACTTACATACCAGGTATCAAAGCAATTGAGCTGATAGATGCCAAGAAAAAGACAGTTGTTGACTATGTATGATGTACGACCAACAATCACCTATATGAACAACTCAATGACATCGGAGCTGATAAAGTTTGTTCGTCATAACTATGTAAACACATTATCACAAATTTTCTGTAGCAAGAGTCTATGATAATTGCTTAACGTTGCTTCTTTTTCATTTGAATATACTCCACTTCTGATATGTTACACTCTCTTGCTAACTTGTAGGTTTAGAGCTGGTTGGACCTGGGAAGCGTGACCTTGCTGGTATGGTTATACTAATTTTCTATGCATGTGGATACATGATGTTAGCTGTTTTCTCAAAGGCAGTCAACGGCAACTGGCGTCAGCTTGAACTATTAATAGCAATTCTTTACGTTCCGTTCTTCTCTTACTATTGGTGAGTCGTGTGTATTATTGTCGTTTTAAACATCGAGTATAACTAAAAACATATCCAAACCATATTCATAGTCATTGAAGTGAATTTACAATTGTAATCATCTTGTTCACTGCAATCACGCAAAACAAACCCCCCAAAAACAACATAAAACAGATGACATGCAAATAGTTGACTTAGAACAGTAGCTGTGCGAAGTGTAGATAATTACATTTCATTTCATTTGACATACAGTCTGATTCAAAGTCAAATACAAGACATATATTTAAGTAAGAA